AGTATTTGAGGGGGGCGAAACACTATTAGAATTGACATAGTCAGTAACTTGTATTCTTTAAAATATTTCTAGTTTAAAAAATTGTACAGATTGAAATCTACTTTAAAGAAAAAAGACATTTCATTGAAATTCCTACAGTAGTTTATCTATTTCATTTACGTATAAATAGGTGTGCAATTATAGATTATGTTTATTTCTTTCTTTTGTTTAGAAAAAGAAACTTGTTAAAACACTTTGTATCGAGTACTCTATATTGTACTAAACACATAATGTTCAATAGGACTATTAAGTCTATTGAGGCGTCCAAATCACCCATATGAGATACACATAAAATCGATGTTTACAAAGCAACAATTTATCTAAAACAAAAATTTATTACAAACCTAAACTTTTAAGGTATCTATGGGGTTTACCACGTTTTATTGTCTGAAATAAAATGAGAAAGAAAGATTACAATTGATTGATCACTGGGTGATGATCAATCTCATGCTTGTCTAGTCCTTATTAGTGCAGATCAAATGCTATCGATCATGTTGCAATGTGGCCACCAGTCTAGGTGACCCGGGTTTCGTGCTACTTGGCACTCGTCAGCAAGGCTCGGATAGCTCAGTGGTAACGTCTCTGACTGTGAAGCTGGGTGACACGAGATCGAATCGGCCAGGGAGCACCAGTTCCCTCAAGATTACAGGTACACCTTGCTGACGAGTGCCAAGTAGCACGAAACCCGGGTCCAGGGTTTCCTGTTGACTACCTCCAACCACCATCGAAAGAAAGATTAGTTCAGCGAAGAGTTCTCTTTTCGGCGAATTCATTTTCAAAGCTGTACAATCGCAAATATGTGTACTTATTTTTACAGGGTGATAATAATACTGATAATAAACTTCTGTTATACATGGTGACAGTGAGGTTAAATAAACAAAGGTATTAGAAAAATTTTTTAAAACAAGGAAAGTTTGATAGTTAATGGCTTAGATATTCATCGTGTAAGAGTAGCTCAGCATGATAAAATAACATAAAATGTTAAAACAGAGATGAAATGTAATCGGAATGATCGTTGAAATAAAAACAAACCGGTTGGGGGGTACAAGATTTGAAGGGAAGATGGAAGGTGAAGCAGGTGGCTGTAAAAGAACAAGAGTATGAAGAAAGAGAAAAATTTTTTAATACCTTAAGACCATGGTAAAAGAAGAGGTTGTACCAGTCTCTTTTGTACACATAATTCTGGTTTTTCAAAATGTATGGCTATTGCCTCGGCGATGCAAAGAAGATGCAGTCTAATTGTCTTAGGAAGGCTTCTACATACCTTGTAGATGACTTTGAACGCAGAGTCTGTCTTGATTGAGTGACCTATGTTCACAAGGTGTTCCATTATAGAACTTCTTATTGAGCCGCTGCCTCCTCTTCTTAGCCAAGCCGGACAATGTTCTTGAATTCTTTTGGATAAAGTACGCATCGAACTACCTATATACCTAGCTCCACAAGAGCTTCCTTTAATAGTAATATAAAGAATAATTACAACATACGATAGTTCAGAAGAGAGCTGTTAGTTTATCAACTAACAAAAACCGAACCGAAATTGTGAACAATTATGACAATGACTGAGATAAATTAATTATAATCACAAATACAATAAATGTTATATGTAAATATTTCAGAATATTACACGACAAACGCATGCGTAAAAATTGCTAGAAACACAACTGTTTACTGAATATTAATAAGTAGTATAAAACAAAATACACAAAAGAGTCGAAAGGAAGTGAATCAGGACAGAGAATGTAAATCAAATTTAATAAGAGCCATTAATAATAATAATAATAATAATAATAATAATAATAATAATAATAATAATAATAATAGTAGTAGTAGTAGTAGTAGTAACAATATTAATACCAATAGTAATAATAATAGTAACAGTAATAACAGTAATAGTAATAATAGTAATTGTAATAATGATAATTATAATTGTAGTAATGGTAATAGTAATAATAATAACAATGCCCCCAAATGCTCTGTTATGGCCACGCATATACAGCCACTATCAGGAAAGTCTAACTCACTGACTTCTCAAGGGCGCGGGTGTTTTCTATGAAATTAATGGGACGAAAAGCGAATGTCCGGCGCTTTAACCAGCTTGGTGGATATGGAGGATCCATCTAGTGCAGTCGGAAGACCCTGATTCCAAACAAACAGTGGATATGGACTCCAGGATTGTAAAAGAACAAATGGTGTATGAACCAATCGTTGGTCACCGTCTACCATGGGACTGCATCTCTTGGCGTTGCTCCACCACCTTGTGGATCAGCTTTTTAGGTCAAAGGCTCAGGGAGTAGCCCCTTACGAAACCATCTGCTTCAGTTTGAGCATCCAGGCAGTATCATAGCCCAAGCACAAATCAAGTGACTTGTGTGGCATTTATGTATTCAATGCTCCTTTGTACCAATATTTATGTGTTCAAACAAATAATAATACTTGTTTAATATAGGTATGCATGAAAATTTCACTATGTTTGCCTTACAATATTCAATAACTCTTTTGTTTTAAATTAAATTAGGGTTCATGTGATAATCACATTTGGTTGTCAGTTTCATTGACATAGTTATGAATCATCCAAAGTGGCTCAGATGCATACACTCCAAGTTCTTCTCGATTTTGAGTCTTAGAATCCTTTGTTACATACCTTTCCAGTGTCTTTTCAAATTATATTCCTATAATTTAGTTTTTCTTTTCTATCACTACTACATTAGTGTAATCTTTTCATTTTGTTATTTTCATTTCGTCTTGTTAACTTAGTATAGTAACCTAGACTAACATGAATCTGTACCAAGAATTTCATTGATGTTTGTCACATTAAATATAAAGTTGCTAATCTCAATAACTTCCTCCTGGATTCCATTCCTTTTTCGTTTTTATTCTAAACATCGTTTTTATGATTCACTTTACTGATTACTTTGATTTTATTTAAGTAATATACTATTTGTGCAGTTTTTATCGTGTTAATATTTTGAGCTGAGTTGAATGATGGTTAATAGTGGAATCTAGGACACATATTTCATCTTAATCATGATTCATAAACCATCATCCAATTCTAAGCAAAGATGAATAGTGGTTAGCAATGGAATCGAAGACATGCGTTTCGCCCTATTTAGCACTCGTCACCTGCATTTCACAGTTGATGTTCACTCCGAGACTCGGACCTAGTCCCGTTCGCTTCAAACGCCGTCGTGTTATCCACTTAGCTACTGAGTCCTGCAAACGGTACAGGGTTCGAGTCCCAAAGTGGTCATCAACTGTGAGATGCAGGTATATCCAGTTGACCAGCACCAAATAGGACAAAACGCGCGTCCTAGATTGATAAACTTCACTAACGTTTCAGTACTTTCGAACCACTTTTCCATTATCTATTTGTACTGTTTATTTAAACATATCCTGTTACGTAATTCTAACTATTCCTGATTGTTATTCTAAAGTGTATCTTTACCCATATTCTGAAATCTGCTTCCCTAATTGAAATATTTATTCAATTTGGTATTATTCCTATCTCTACTAGTATACATACCATAATACGACTAGTTATATAACAGTTATTGACTCACAAATTCCCAAGATTAGTTTCATATTACTGTTTATCAGAGTAAAGTCTGGTAAAACAAAGAAGACAATATTGTTCACTTTAATGTACGCCGGACACCTTAACCCAGTAATCCATATCTACCTACATAGTTCAGTCCAAGTGTCACCGACCTCATGGACCTAGTGCTAAATCTTGGTCTTGTGATCCCTAACCTACTCTTAGACCAGACATCATCAATCAAGTTAAGTGGTTTTTAGAAATATGTAATACATGTCCCAATGGCACAGGTGCATCCACTCTTTGTGTTCTCCCGAATTCCAATCTTCTGAATTCTTCATGTCCCCTTTTTCGTCTTCGAAATTTATTTCACTGGATTATACTCCTCGAATAACATATTCAAATCCTAATCTTTCCGATTACTACTTATACTCTTACTACCTCTACCACTATGGGATTTGAATCGACTACTACATCCTTGTGCTAATGTGGTATGGCAACTCGAACTGATGTACGTACGTACGATGTTCTACTTTGTTAGTGACTGACTGACTGTCCCAACCATCTCAGGAGAGGATTTACTACCTTATCAATTGATTTTACATCATTACTCAATACCCTACCCCTATAGTAAGTCCATTAAATTTTTCTATTACAAGCTGTAATCTAAGCAATTAACCCACTATGCAAAAATGTGTAGGTTTGATTGAACGTATCACTGCATCTCAATCTTTATCTGGTCGCCCATCGGCTGTAGATAAAGACAACCAATAACTTACAATTGATTAACACTTATAAAATGTACATTGATATTTCTCTAATGAACGAGAACTCAGATGCGGAGAACCAATTTATTATTTCATGCAAAATTACAGAATATCTCCCAATTCACAATTCCTTTCTGTTTTCTTCAATTCGATCTTCTTAACCTTCTGCTGCCAGCCATTTAACTTTCCGTTGGTGTTACATACTACTTATTTCGATAGACAATAGTAGTATATATATCACATTTCTACTTTTAACTCACACACACACACTCATTCACTGTCCATTGTTTGCCTCTCTCGTACTTGTGGATTTTATTAATTATTGACAATAGACTCTAGCAACAGCTGGTACTTTGGCTTTTGAGTATGGTCAAGTAAGTTCATAGTAATACTAGAAGGATTGGACCGCTAAAATACTAAGTTAACAGCATATCATCTATTGGAATCAAATGAGAGAGAACTAACCTCAGGACTGTCTGCTTAAAGATCCTAAAATGAACGAGTGATGCTTCGAAGACACCAATGATCGAATACTAGTAACCTACAAACATCCTTTAATTTTAATGATCATGTTTTACTTTCATCACGTAGAAGTGAGTTAACTACTAAACAGTGAACTCATCAAAGATAAATATCCCAACCTACACTACAAATGATACAAATTGGCAAATACCAGGTATATTTTTCTAATTTTAATATAAAATAAAAACAAACATCACTGAAATATCAATTCAAATTGTCCAATACATATATTTTCATACTAAATGAATTATTTGTGTACACTATCATACTACTCATTATTTTTTTAGTAATAATGAAAGATACTACTGAACAAACATAGGAACAAGAGAATATAGGTCGAAAGGAATTCTGAACAATCACCAAGCGCACACACACACACATTATATATATATATTAAAAGACAAGTCATTGAAAATGTTACTAGTCTTGTTCTGGTAATCTACAATCATCATTATCTTTCCAACCATATCGCCATCTTTCCAATACATGAGTACAATCAAATAACGGTTTGCCAATCTTTTTATTCACTAAATTATGTTGCATACATAACCATCCACTTAATGCATGACGACTATCCAATTTCGGTGGATGAACAATAATGTCTATATGATTGAGAAGAGAAAAAAATAATGATATAAGGAAAAAAAAACTTGTTACTCTCTATCTCTTTTTCTTCATACTATTTCACGAATTAATAATAACAAATGTACTTACTTACGCCTGTTACCTCTTGTGGTAGAACATAGGCCATGTATCAACATTCTCGATTCAATTGTCATGGAAAATCCTTTCCAGTTCATTTTCTTTTCTTTTTTCATGTCTGCTTCCAACTCCTGAAACAGTATGTTCCTTGGTCTTTCACTTTTCCTTCTCAATTCAGGATTCCAAGTTGGGGCTTGCCTCATGATACAGTTTGATTATTTCCTCAATGTATGTCCTATCTATTTCCAACGTCTTTACCTAATTTCCAGTTCAGATGGAAGTTGTTTTGTCCTCTCCCATAGTAGGCTGTTGCTGATGGTATCCGATAAACGGACATTGAGTATCTTGCATAGACAATTGTTCATAAGTAATTGTACTTTTTCATTATGGTTGTAGTTCTCCACATTTCGGATCCGTACAGTAGAACTGTCTTGACGTTCATATTAAAGATTCTTACGTTGACATTGGTTAATAGTTGTTTTGAGTTCCATGTGTTTTTCAAATGTAGTAATACTGCCCTTACCGTGAAAATCCTCACTATTACGTCTGAATCGAATCTTCCTTGTTCATCGATGGTGCTGTTGAAGTACGTGAAGGTTTCCATCTTTGACATTTATTTTCATTTTCTAGGAGCTTTTGCGTTTTTAAATTTTTTTCGATGATCTTTACGTTAGCGAAATAAGTATTTAAGCTTTGGATAGTGGAGTTTAATCCACCGTACACAATGAATGAGGGCTGCACAATAACTCAGAATGATTGAAGTTAGACACGTACACTAGTGGACAAAGGCTCAGTGGTCTAGAGACTGAACGAAGGCTCCAAGTTCGAGCCTCTATGGCAGAGTAGTGAATACTAGGGACAAAACAGCTGTCCAGAGTTAACAGGGTTTCAAAGTTGATCTAGCTAAGATTAGTCAGTGATTTAAACCATGAAAATATTTAAACGTCAAAACATTTTATAATTATTTAATAAATTTACAGACAATTTATTTATGACTAGTCAGCTGGATGTACCTGCATCTCACAGTTGATGTTCACTCCGGGACTCGAACCCATTAATGTTCGCTTCATAGGCCATCGCGTTCTGACTTCGATATTGGTGGATAGTTATTCTGAGTTCCTGGATTCCACTGCTAGCCACTATCCATCTTTGCTTAATTATTACTATCATTATTTATTGGTTATAAATAGATGGAAATCACTTGACATAACAGTCCGCTATGCTCACTGTTCTGAAAAAGATATTAATCACTTAAATCTATAGTAATTATTAGTGCAACGTTGAACCTGACATCGGTTCGAAACGATACACCACACTAGTAAACCGAGATGCAATTATCAAGAAAGATTCTAGAGTAGTAGAGGTACTCACAGTATTAATAGTAAAGATTAGATATAAAAAAGAGAGAAATAAACAGGTGGATGGAGATTTCGCATTCTAAAAAAGTCAATCAGTAAATGGACCTGGGTTATTGCAAACGACTCTGAGACATCTCACCGAAAATCTCCAACCACAGATTACTATAATTATGCAGGTTTTACACCTGTTATTTAGATGACTTAATAAATTTATCAAAAACTTTATGCACTGGCATCACGTCTTGGTTTGCTCACCCATAGTTTTCTTACAGACTAACCCTACACCTCTTCACTACGATGTAATTTATAAATACCTTTACAACCAAAATGTATGTCAGTTGTTTTTAAGGTTCCACAAAATCGTTTCATCTATTTCAGTTCATTAGACAATAGAGTCAAGTAGATAGATCGAGATTATCTGGATGGGAAATGCGAGATAATCGTAGTTAGCAGCTGAAAACGGAGTGATATGGCTCAAAATCACTTGTACAAGATCACGGATACATTCATCAAGGTAAGAAAAAGTAATTTTAAAATGCTAATGCGTTACGTACTTACTAACGCCTGTTAACCCCAATAGAGCATAGGCCGCCAACTAGCATTCTTCAACCCACTCTGTCCTGGGTCTTCCTTCCTAGTTCTGTCCAATTGTTGTTCATTCCTCTCATGTCTGTCTCCATTTCTCGGCGTGATGTGTTCTTTGGTCTTGCTCTTCTTCTTTGGCATTGAGGATTTGAACTGAGGGATTGCCTTGTCTTGACATTTGTATTGAAAATTGTGACTTTGGTGTTGGTTGACAGTTGTTTTGATTTTGAGATGTTCTTCAGTTGTAGATATGCTGCTCTCGCTTCGCCGATCCGCGCCTTCATATCTGCATCAGATCCACCGTGTTCATCAATGATGCTGCTGAAAGCAGATGTAACAGTAACTGCAAGGATACTCCACATCCTCTTCAGCAAGATTTGGGATGAAGAAAAAGTACCAACAGACTGGAAACAAGGACACCTGATCAAAATACCGAAGAAAGGCGATCTCAGCAAGTGTGATAACTACAGGGGCATCACTCTTATCTCGATACCAGGAAAAGTATTCAACAGGGTATTGTTAAACAGAATGAAGTACTCCGTAGACGCCCAACTTCGAGACCAACAAGCAGGATTCCGTAAGGATCGACCGTGTACAGACCAAATCGTAACAATACGGATCATTGTGGAACAATCAGTTGAATGGAATTCACCACTCTACATCATCTTCATTGACTACGAAAAAGCATTTGATAGCTTGGACAGGACAACACTTTGGAAGCTTCTCCGATACTACGGTGTGCCTAAGATAGTCAATATCATACAGAATTCCTATGACAGATTAAACTGCAAAATCGTGCATGGAGGACAATTGACAAAGTCGTTCGAAGTAAAGACCGGTGTCAGGCAAGGTTGCTTACTCTCACCCTTTCTCTTTCTCCTGGTGACCGACTGGATCATGAAGACGTCAACATCTGGGAGGAAGCATGGGATACGTGGACATTTAGGATGCAGCTGGACGATCTAAACTGGCTCTTCTATCGCACACGCAACAACAAATGCAGGAGAAGACGACCAATGTAGCAGCAGTAGGTCTCAACATACACAAGGAGAAAATCTGGATTCTCCGATACAACACAATATACACCAATCAAATCACACTTGACGGAGAAGCTTTGGAAGATGTAAAAACCCTTACATATCTGGGCAGCATCAGCGATGAACACGGTGGGTCTGATGCAGATATGAAGGCGCGGATCGGCGAAGCGAGAGCAGCATATCTACAACTGAAGAACATCTCAAAATCAAAACAACTGTCAACCAACACCAAAGTCACAATTTTCAATACAAATGTCAAGACAAGGCAATCCCTCAGTTCAAATCCTCAATGCCAAAGAAGAAGAGCAAGACCAAAGAACACATCACGCCGAGAAATGGAGACAGACATGAGAGGAATGAACAACAATTGGACAGAACTAGGAAGGAAGACCCAGGACAGAGTGGGTTGAAGAATGCTAGTTGGCGGCCTATGCTCCATTGGGGGTATCAGTCGTACGTAAGTAAGAGTTTGTGATATACACGAATTGACCTAAGTTCGCATATCACATTATCGCAACGAGATGAAATGAACAAGGTGAATGGCTAAAAGAGGTCATTGTAATTGTAGCAGCAATGACAGCAATGTTCACAAATGCCCTGGTACAGTCGAGAATTGGGAGTCCACTTTCCCTCTCGAAACTCTCTTACATGGTCGCGTGTATACAGCCACTACCAGGGAAGTTCAACTCACTGCCTTCTCGTAGCGGGGATATTGTTTACAAAATCGAGAGGATGGGAAGAGAATGTCCGGCGCTTAACCAGGTTGCTGGATACAGAAGATCCACCTATGGGGGTTGGAAAGCCCTGATTACAAGCCAGTAGTAGCACATGGGTTCCAGGATTCTGAAGGAACAAATAGCGTATGAACCAATTGTTGGTCACTGGCTACCATGGAACTGCATCTCCTGACGTTGCTTCACTGCCTTGTGGATTAGGCCTTTAGGTCGAAGGCTCCGGGTATGGTTCCCTAAGGAAACCACCTGTTTCGGTCTGGGCACTCGGGTAGTATCACGGCCCACACACAAACTAAGTGACTTGTGTGATGCATATTTATTTGGTGCCCCCTCTGTACCAATATTTATATGTTCAAATAAATAAATAAATAAAATGACAACGAGAATCAATGAAAATTGGAAATATTTTAGTGGTTTGGATTATCAAAATTGTTGATAGTTTGTAAGTGAAATTTGATCAGTCTTGGTTGAGATATGTGTATCCTGTGAGGATTGGCTAGACATAGTCTTTATGCAAAATAGATTCATTATAGCTAACAGTGGAATCCTCTTCCTATTTATAACTGATTAGCTGGATTTACTCGTTGCACAAGTGAGCGGCTATTTGAAATCAATGGCTAGGTGGATAACGCGTTGATTTTTGGAGCAAATGGTATTGCGTTCGAGTCTGAGACTGAACAACTCCGGGAGGCAGGTGTTCACCCAGCCGACAAAACCCGAATAGGACGAGACATGCATCCTGGATTCTACTGTTAGTCACATTCCATTTGTATGACATAAAACTGAGGATATCACTTGAAAGAACAAAATTAAAAAGTATGTATGAAAGAATATTCGAACTCAAGGTTTTAATGAATATAAAGTGATTTCCTTTACGCTACTGTGAACGACTTTCAGCTACATCATCGGAAGTTGCCAACCACTAAGATCACGTGGACTCAAACTAGACAGACTGCATCTGCCAGCATGACTCAGACTGAGAGTTAATAACTTCATGGATTGATGGCGTGCCTTTGGTTTGACAACCCCTCAACCTTTCTTTTAACCTGAACGTTGCACACTCGATCGTTTTACGATACATAAGGAGTATTTTGAAGAAATATAATCTAAAATCTGGATATATTGACTAATGTTATATGTAAATCATTTTTATGTACCTTAGTAACAATGGATGTGTTTGTGCACTCATTCTAAAGTTATGTTTTGTGTCCAGTTGAAGCGGAGTTGGAGCTTTTTGTTTGGTGATTGAACTTCAAGTGCTTCAAACCATAAAGTTACTGCAAATCGCTACTAGATTTAAGGTGACAGAATAGAACATTATAGAAAATACTTAGGTATTTGTCTTGATAACTTTATCTCACTACTGTGCTGATACAGTAATATGTGGTAAGTTGAAAAGGATGAATAGTTTTGCGGAAACGCCGAAATAAAATAATTTCTACTTCATTTAAAATAGCATACTCTTTTAACTAACTGTTTATTAGTTAAACAAAACAAAAATAATACTTTAAAAAAGTATATTATACTTACTAGACTCAAAATCATAAGCACATGGTCGACATGGGAAGAACTGAGGAAAAATTTGTAAAAACTTCTTCATATCTTCTTGTTGTTTCAATGTCGGGTGTATAGGGTAATATGCTGCCATTGTATGCAACAAAGTCCATGTTGCTTTTCCAAGTTCAATTTTATCCGGTGGACACTCTGAATAGAAGCAAAATCCAATCAAATTACATTGAGCATAGTTGATGTGTACGCGGTTACAACGAAAATTAATCTTTTTTTCTTTTTGTGTCTCCTGATTGGATGTTTGATAACAAGGAACTTGAAGACCGATAAGCATTAATACCTTGATAGTGATTCATCAGTCGATGTGTAAATTCGTGAAATAATAGGTCATCAGTTCTATTGGTCATGTAGGTGAACTAGTCAATGATCGGAATCCTGATTGAGCAATATAATATTTGATAACGATCACTGATCTCAAGCCACAACAAAGCATCTTAAGGCACAGTAGTTTAATATAATGCGCGTCTGTGGATGTGTAGATCCCAGAGGAGGAAGAAATCAGGAAGAAGTGCTGCAAGTAGATAGGACACACATTGAAGAAAACACCCAACTGTGTCACAAGGCAATCCCTCACATGGAATCCTCAAGGCCAAAAGAAAAGGGGAAGATCAAAGAACACATTACGTCGAGAAATGGAGACAGACATGAGAAAAATGAACAACAATTGGATAGAACTAGGAAGGAAGGCCCAGGACAGAGTGGATTGAAGAATGCTGGATGGCGACCCATACTCCATTAGGAGTAACAAACGTAAGTAATTCAAGTAAGTGGATGTGTATGACTTGGTCCATTTATTTTCACATGTCAGATATGAATATAAGTCAGTCATGATTAATGTAGTGTTTCGGACAAAACATGAGTCATCCCAACTCCACACAACAATTGTACGATGAGATGAAGTTAATTATAATAATAGTAAAGGAAAGTAGTAACAAAGTAATGACGATAACCATCAGAATACTGAGCATATGATTTGAAATAAAACGAAAAGATGTATAAATGAAAATTCGAAGGAAGATAAAAGGTGAATGCATTCGCGTCATTGTGAACGATCCTGAGACAAGTCACCTTACGTCATCAACCACCGATTAATATCAAGAATGAAATAACAATATGAGTACAGAATTTATGATTATCTAAATGAGTTAACTGTTAGATAGAGGTCCAGTGAACAACCAGTGATCAAAACATAAATTTGACTCAACTTTCGAGCTCTTTTAGGGTATACAAGTCGTCAGATGATCTCAAATACTTTTAGAAGTATGTGGAGGAAATTTAGATTCTCAGTTGTCTTTACCGTAAAACGATACTTATTCTTAAGATACGCGCAAAGGTAGATGGATTATAAATGGTCTTGACGAGTCAGGATCGTAAACACAGGGACCAAGAGATAACTGTTCCTTTAGGCCGGTCACATATGACTTCATTGTGGATAGTTTTATATATTTAGGCTTACGATTTTAAGACCATTATTATCGTTGACAGATATCTGTGGGACAAGACGAGGTGTGCTGCTTTTAGGGTAAACCTTATCAACAAATGCAGCTCAAGACAAACAGTGTAACAACAGCCTCTACATCAATAGACCTCAACATACAAAAAGGAAAAAGCAAGATCCTCAAATACAACACGGAGAACACCAACCTAACCATATTTGGTGGAAAAACTCTGGAAGAGGTCGAAACTTTCACGTCAGTAACAATGGAGAACTTCGTACGTACGTACATCAGTTCGAGTTGCCACACCACATTAGCACAGAGATGCAGTTGTTGATCCAAATCCCGTAGTGGTAGAGGTGGTAAGAGTATAAGTGATAATCGGAAAGATTGCGGTTATTCAAGGAGAATACAGTGAAATAAATTTGGAAAGAGAAAAAAGAAAGGGACATAAAGAATTCAGAAGATTAGAATTTGGGAGAACACAGAGAGTGGATGCACCTGCACCATTGCAAACGATTATGAGCCATGTCATTCAGGGTCTCTAACCATCGGTTGCTATGATCTCGTGGTCCCCAACCAGGTAGTCTACACCTACCAACATGGCTCAGTCCACTTGTCAGTGACTTCATGGACTTGTGCCATGTTTTGGTTTGGCCGCCCCTAGCTTTCTTCCAACCTACTCCTATACCACTGAACATAGCACGTCGAGGTAGTCGGTCGTTGGGCATAGGTAACACGTGTCCCAGCCATCTCAACTGATGAAGTTTCACTACTTCATCAATTGATTTGCCATCCTTACCTAGTATTCGTTTCCTAACAACTGCGTCACTTACTCGATGGTCCCAAGATATACGAGCAATATTTCGAAGACACCTATGGTCAAATACTAGTAACCTACGAATATCCTCTACTCTTACCGGCCATGTTTCACTGCCATAAAGTAGGACGGAACAAACTGCTGCGCAGTAAACACGTCCTTTGATTGATTGACGGATATCTCGCATACGCCATAAATGACGCAAGTTGGCAAAAGCTAGTCGAGCCTTCTGTATCCGTGCTGAGATTTCGTCACACACCAGACCACAAGGGCCGATGAGACTTACAAGATAAGTGAAGCGGTCGACACGCTCAACTACTTCACTCCCTACCCGGCCGTCGTTGCTACCTTGACGTGGTGGTCGGGCTTGCCTATCGTGACGAAGCAACCGAGCTATACTGGCTGGAACAACCGTTCCTCAAGGTCCTACCATGTCAGACAGGTCGGTTGAAGAGCGGTAAGACTAAAAGCAACAAACCCAAGGTCCGAAGGCGAAGTCGTACTGCTGACTGTAGAGAGGTGTGACAGCAGTAAGGTGTTTCCCTCGGACAACCAGCATGACAGCGATGCTGCCTTCCCACAAGGAGGGGTGGGGTTAGAAAAGGTCAACCCTAAAAATGTCACACCTCACCTTACCTCACGGATTTCCGTCTCCGGCGGTAAGGCCCTTTGAAGAACGGAGCTAACACGTCAAAAACCTTCCACAAAAAGGCCGTGCGCGACCGGCCTCAAGCAGTTGTCCCTTGGGCTCTGCGGTCACGCTCCCAGGTCGTCAAGACCAACACTAATCCAATTTCCTTTTCAGGTTCCTCAAGAAATACCCTTCCACGGTGTGGGCAGCCGGGAAGTGACATCAGCCCTCATACCCGTAACATCGCACGAAACCAAGTTGGTCACATTCAAATCCTTCCTACACCTCCTAATACCTCTCTTATCTCCATGACTAACCCTCCTCACGTTTCTTTATCACCTCGCACCGGTAGGGCAAACGATTCGAGTAAGTGGAACGCTGTTCCTGGTCTCCTGAAACGACGCCCTAAACTACACATAGGAGCTTTTAACGTACGAACACTGTGCTAAATAAGACAGCAGGCTTCATTAGCTAGGACTTTAGAATCCCGCGCCATCGATGTGTGCTGCGTCTCCGAAACGCGCATACAGGATCCGAGTAGCGTCATTCATCTGACTTCACCATGCAAAAATAAAGAACCGACTCGATTCACACTTCGTGTATCTGGAAGCCCTGATTCTGCTTCCCGTGGCCTCGCCGGCGTAGGTATAGCATTGAGTCCTAGGGCAGAACTAGCTCTCTTAGAGTGGATCCCAGTAGACAGTCGTTTGTGCGCTGTCCGACTGAACGGAACAGTAAGAATCCGGAAAGATAGGGACACTCGTCGTTGCCTCTTCGTCGTCTCTGCCTATTCTCCCACTGACTGCAGCTCAGATGATGTAAAAGATGAGTTTTACAGAAAGCTTTCGGACCTTCTCCGAAAAGCTAAGCGCTCGGATGTAGTAATAATGGCCGGCGACTTTAATGCTCAAGTAGGTAAACTAAGCGATAGGGAAAGACACCTAGGTGGATCTTATGGTGTTGTGGCTCAAAGAACAGATAATGGCGACCGTCTGTTGCAGCTATGCTCAGATAACCGCCTGTTCCTTGCAAATACTAACTTTAAGCATAAGGAAAAACATCTTTTAACATGGCGACCCCCTAATTCGTCCCAACGTTGGACCCAAATAGATCACATCGCTATCAGCCACCGATGGAGGGGCTCGATAGAAGACTGTCGCTCATTCTGGAGCACATGCCTAGATTCAGATCATGCTCTAGTGCGAGCGCGTATTTGCTTGCGTCTTACTGGACGTAGGAAAGACGCTGCAAGGAAACCTCTTAGGGCCTACTTAATGATAGTCAAGCTAAGAGTATATTTCAGGAACAACTAGGAAAACAGTTAGGCAGCCATGTATGTGATGCCCACTCCGAGGCAGCATGGAATGATATCCGAAAAGCTGTGGAAACAGCAGTGATATCTGCTAGTAAGGTAAATCAGAAGGTTAGGGAGAAACACTGGATCTCAGCAGCATGTATCGTACTGATAGATGCTCGGAAACTCATTCCACCTGGCTCTGAACATAATGAAGAGCGGAGTCAACTTAAGCGCAAGCTGACATGAAGTCTACGCAATGATCGCGAACAGTGGTGGGTAGCGAAAGCCAGAGAGATGGAAAAGGCAGCGGCAATAGGTAATAGCAGACAATTGTTCAGACTCGTTAAGGAAACCGGAATTAGGAACCCGACCGTTAGCGAAACAATCTCAGAGAAAGATGGACATATTATTCATTCTCAATCCAGGAGATTGGATCGATGGGCAGAACACTTTAGGGATCAGTTCAACTGGCCTTCAGCCACACTTCGGTTTCCCACGATCTCTAGTCAACCTGAATGGCAATTTAATGTAGGTCCTCCGTCCCTTTACGAAGTTGAAAAAGCCGTAGGAAATCTGAAACGAGGGAGAGCAGCAGGCCCTAACAGGTTTACTCCTGAGATTTTTAAGGATGGTGGTCTACTATTAGCAATGCGATTAACCGAGGTCTTAGGTAGAATTTGGGAACGGGACATAATCCCATCTGACTGGTGCCTCAGTCACTGATTGTGCTAGCCTATAAGAAAGGACAAAAGTCCTCTTGTGACAATCACAGAGGAATCAGTTTGACTAATATAGTGTCTAAGATATTAGCTTCAATAATACTTCGACGCCTAATCAAAGCTCGTGAAGAGCAGATTAGGGAAAACCAGGCTGGTTTTCGACCTGGACGTGGTTGTATAGACCAGACATTCACACTACGTCAAGTTCTAGAACACAGACACACATTCAGACGCCCCACAATGGTAGTATTTCTCGACCTTAAGGCGGCATTTGACTCTATTGATCGTGAGGTTCTGTGGCAGTGTTTGTCACTGAAAGGAGTACCAAAGAAGTACATTAACCTTGTAAAGGCTCTCTACTCGAAAACAACTGGTCGAGTGAGAACTTATGGCGAACTGTCATCAGAATTGATTACCTCAAGTGGTGTTCGTCAGGGTTGTCCACTCTCTCCATTCTTGTTTAACTTTGTCGTTGACGTGCTTTTAGAGATAACACTTTCCTCATCTAAATTTCCAGGGGTTGAACTTCTACCAGGAGGTTCACTTGTTGACTTAGAATATGCAGATGACATAGTTTTATTTGGTGAAAACGCTGACAAAATGCAGAGTCTTCTAACCACTCTAAGCAACAATGCAAACATGTTCGGGTTGCGATTCTCCCTCTCGAAATGCAAAATGTTACTTCAGGATTGGGTTGCATCTACATCCGAACTAATGATAGGGAGTGAAGTCAGTCAGTCAGTAAAGACGTAGAACTTCGTACGTACGTACATCAGTTCGAGTTGCCACACCACATTAGCACAGAGATGCAGTTGTTGATTCAAATCCCGTAGTGGTAGAGTTAATAAGAGCATAAGCAGTAATCGGGAAGATTAGGGTTTGGAGATGTTATTTAAAGAGCATAATCCAGTGAAATAAATTTGGAAAGAGAAAAAAGAAAGGGACATAAAGAATTCAGAAGATTAGAATTTGGGAGAACACAGAGAGTGGATGCACCTGCACCATTGCAAACGATTATGAGCCATGTCATTCAGGGTCTCTAACCATCGGTTGCTATGATCTCGTGGTCCCCAACCAGGTAGTCTACACCTACCAACATGGCTCAGTCCACTTGTCAGTGACTTCATGGACTTGTGCCATGTTTTGGTTTGGCCGCCCCTAGCTTTCTTCCAACCTACTCCTATACCACTGAACATAGCACGTCGAGGTAGTCGGTCGTTGGGCATAGGTAACACGTGTCCCAGCCATCTCAACTGATGAAGTTTCACTACTTCATCAATTGATTTGCCATCCTTACCTAGTATTCGTTTCCTAACAACTGCGTCACTTACTCGATGGTCCCAAGATATACGAGCAATATTTCGAAGACACCTATGGTCAAATACTAGTAACCTACGAATATCCTCTACTCTTACCGGCCATGTTTCACTGCCATAAAGTAGGACGGAACAAACTGCTGCGCAGTAAACACGTCCTTTGATTGATTGACGGATATCTCGCATACGCCATAAATGACGCAAGTTGGCAAAAGCTAGTCGAGCCTTCTGTATCCGTGCTGAGATTTCGTCACACACCAGACCACAAGGGCCGATGAGACTTACAAGATAAGTGAAGCGGTCGACACGCTCAACTACTTCACTCCCTATCACTAGTTCGGATGTAGATGCAACCCAATCCTGAAGTAACATTTTGCATTTCGAGAGGGAGAATCGCAACCCGAACATGTTTGCATTGTTGCTTAGAGTGGTTAGAAGACTCTGCATTTTGTCAGCGTTTTCACCAAATAAAACTATGTCATCTGCATATTCTAAGTCAACAAGTGAACCTCCTGGTAGAAGTTCAACCCCTGGAAATTTAGATGAGGAAAGTGTTATCTCTAAAAGCACGTCAACGACAAAGTTAAACAAGAATGGAGAGAGTGGACAACCCTGACGAACACCACTTGAGGTAATCAATTCTGATGACAGTTCGCCATAAGTTCTCACTCGACCAGTTGTTTTCGAGTAGAGAGCCTTTACAAGGTTAATGTACTTCTTTGGTACTCCTTTCAGTGACAAACACTGCCACAGAACCTCACGATCAATAGAGTCAAATGCCGCCTTAAGGTCGAGAAATACTACCATTGTGGGGCGTCTGAATGTGTGTCTGTGTTCTAGAACTTGACGTAGTGTGAATGTCTGGTCTATACAACCACGTCCAGGTCGAAAACCAGCCTGGTTTTCCCTAATCTGCTCTTCACGAGCTTTGATTAGGCGTCGAAGTATTATTGAAGCTAATATCTTAGACACTATATTAGTCAAACTGATTCCTCTGTGATTGTCACAAGAGGACTTTTGTCCTTTCTTATAGGCTAGCACAATCAGTGACTATCTGTTATTTATTTATTGATTTAAACACATAAATATTGGTGCAAGAGGGCACCAAATATATATGGTCAGATGGGATTATGCCCCGTTCCCAAATTCTACCTAAGACCTCAGTTAACCTCACTGTTAATACTGGGCCACTATCCTTAAAAATCTCAGGAGTACACCTGTCAGGTGAAACTTTCACGTACCTGGACAGTATCGTCTATGAACAGGGAGGATCCGATGCAGCCGGAAAGGCAAGGATTGACAAAGTAAAGACAGCATTCCTATACTTGAAGAACATATGGAACTCAAAACTATTAACCAATATCAACGTAAGAATCCTTAATATGAACGTCAGGACAGTTCTACTGTACGGAGCTGAAATGTGGAGAACTACTACAACCATCAATCAAAAAGTACAATTATTTATGAACAATTGTCTATGCAAGATACTCAATGTCGGATACCACCAGCAACAGTCTACTGTGGAAGAGAACAAACTGGTTTCCAGCTGAACAGGAAATTAAAAACACGCTGGGATGAATAGGACATACATTAAGGAAATCATCAAACTGCATCACGAAGCAAGAGCTAACTTGGAATCCTGAAGGGAAACGGTAAAGAGGAATGCCAAAGAACACACTGCGTCGAGAATCGAAAGCAGACATGAAGTGGATGAATAGCAAGTGGAAAGGATTTCCCACGACGGAGTTGGATGGAGAATGCTGGTGGGCGGCTTATGCTCCTATATGAGGTAACAGGTGTAAGTAATCTATGCAGATGATTGAACAGCATAAAGTTATAATCACTGGGTCAACTACTTTCAACACTAAAAAGATTCTGAAGGAAAACTGCAGGCATGAACTAGCATTTACATTGTGCCTTTATTTACATTCATTTATTTAAACTGGTACAAAGGGGGTATAAAATATAATTGTGTCACAGAAAAATGAAGATATAGGGAGAGGAAGATGAGAATGATAAAAAATGACAAGTGGATAGGAATAATAATAATAGTAGTGACAACAATAATGGGAGCACCAGTCCAATCCGGTAAGCATAAATAGAAAGGACTCTTTCGCATACTAGCCTATCACGAACCTGAGTAAGTTTCTAAACCCTGTAGACAGTGTATATACACTTTGAGTCTCTAGATATTTTGTAGAAAACAGCAGCTGTGTTGCCCACATTCCGATCAACTAAAATGTTGCCTGAAGTCGTACATAAAGCTTGGTTCTAAACTCCTTGTTTCAAGAGTAACTCAAACGACATATAACTTTCATAAAGTCCAAAGTTTTGAAGAAACATTTGGGACAAAAAAACTAACCCGAACCATGAAAACAGTACGTAAGCCACGGGAGATTAACTATCGAGAGTTTGGCTGCCGACTGCATCGTTTTAGATCATATATGATCTTGGATATTCTATAGAATATTCATTAATGACGTATATTTACTTGTACGAGCAAGTGAAAATCAGAATACTGAATTTTAATATTAACTATACACGCATACCCATTCAGTACAGAGTTTCCAGGGCTAGCGGTCACATTTTAAAACACACAGTGAACAATACAATACAAGATATAAGGACGTTTTGGAAAAGTACATACCTACACTCGGTTTGGATACCATCTCCTTTGCTTTTGTAAGACCAAACTTTGACAAGTCGACACATGCACGACAGAATCCCCTGCTTTTAGGGTCATAAATATCTTCGTCATCGTCTTCACTCACAGAAACACGTTCACCTTTTCTAGCCATGCTGATATGACCTTGACCTTGGATTACGTCAAACTTCGAGCCTTCATGCAAGTGGTTGTGTCGACAACCTTCTGTAATAAGGATAGAAGGTCTATCAACCTATATTAATCCTTGCAGTTTTTAACACTACGAGGGTTCAATCTCGTCTTGAACATGCCAACAGAAGGTGCTGATATTGCGTGTTCTAAATGTTTCAAAGTGGTTCAAATGGATGTGGATGGAATAGAAGAAGCTTTCGCTTAACATGCATCTGTGTCTAGTAGCAGTGGAATACCAACACCTCCAGGCAGGAATCTAGGCATATTAACTATAACAGATCATAAAAAAAGAAACAGATAACTCATGATATGATGTTATCCTTAGACCTTAAGAATAGGTCAAGTTTCCTCATAAAGGACTCCTGGGAATTCGCTTGGAAGAGCTCAGTCGGCAACGGATTCCAGCAAGTGACAACTCTTAAGGAGTAGAAGTTGTGTCTACAGTCCGTTCTGCTATGTTGTGCTTCCAATTTCTGGGTGTCACCCCTTAGGTTTGTATTGGGACTAAGCTTAAGTAGGTGTTTAAGAGGATGTCCAGAAGTCGTAAGGATACTGTAAGCCATAATAAGGTCACCTCTAAGATGCCTATACTCTAATGGGTAAGAGTTAAATGACCGGAGGTGCTCTTCAAAAGGTTTAAATTTGAGTCCCCGAAATGATTTCGTGACTAGTCGTTGGATACGCTCAATACTCTAAGTGGGGACGGATAAAACTGTTGAAGATTATGTGGAAAGTTCCTCCATCAAACTGGCCAAAAATGCGCTCCAATGTTGCCAGTGCAAGGTTTGCTCGAAAGGTATTTTTGTCACAGTTAGCGTAGGATTTCAAATCGTAGGTTACCAGCGCTCCTAAATCTTTTTCAAATTGGGATACTTCTAGAGAGGAGTCGCCTAAGTTGTAACTGTAATCTGCAACATGACGCAGATGGACTACTTTACACTTTGAAGTGTTAAAGGTAGGTTCGTTGTCATCTGCCCAACTTTGAAATCGAGTAAGATCCTCCTGAAGTGCCAGTATATACTCTTGGTTGCGTATCTCTCTTCAGAGTTTCACATCATCGGCAAAAAGCATTAAGTCAGACGACATCTGTTGTGGAGGATCGCTAACATAGATCAAGAAAAGAAGAGGTGCTAGTACTGAGCTCTGTGGGACCCCACTAGGACATTCCATAGCCTGAGATAAAGTTAAATTAACCCTAACCATAAAATGTCGATTTTTCATGTATGAAGTTAGCCAATCGATTAGAGGTGGTCTGATACCCAGTCGTTCGAGCTTATTGATAAGACACAAGTGGTTAACCTTATCAAAAGCTTTTGAGAAATCAAGGTAGATGACATCAACCTTTCCCTTGCAATCGAGGATGCTTGTCCATCTGTCCACCGCTGTTACAACCCTTCCTGAAACCATGATGTTGGGGTGAGAAGAAATTTAAGGACAGCAAATTGTCATTTATGCCATCGCATATCAGGGACTCCATGATTTTTGAAGGTATAGAGAGAACAGCCATCGGTCGGCAACTTGAAGGTTCGCAGTGTCGACCTCCTTTGGAAATTGGTGTGATGTGAGCCAGCTTCCAAATTTCCGGTGGTTCACCTCGACTTGGCGAGTGTGAGAACATCACGCTAAGTGGTGTTGCCAGCATTGAGGTTCCTTTCCACAGTATAGCAGAATGAACCATATCTGGGCCAGGAGAAGTGTCTTTTCTTAAGTGCTGCAGTTTCCAGAACACCAAGTCAGCGCCCAGATTCGCTTCGAAAAGTCCTGTGCAGTTGCAGATGAAGCTGTCATCAGTGTAGTTGATGCGGGTAGGTAGGGAGGTCCATTAATTCATTATTCAGTGCTAGAAACGAAACCCTAGACATAGGATATTTGATTTCAGTTTTTGAGCCGTCTTAAAGTATCCTCTCAAATGATCAGTCCTAGACGGGAGGACATGATAAGAAATGTTAATACCAAGGTCATCATTCAGTATATGATAAGCCAATATTAGATCACTCCGTAGTCCACGGTAAGATAACGTAAATAGGTTGAATTACCTCGGTCTGTCTTCATAAGACGGGGCAGAGAGACCTTTTACCATTTTAATCCCTCGTCGTTGAACTCCTTCCAGCATATCCGCCCAATACTTGAAACAAGGACTGGCTGCTTGGATCCCATATTCCAAATGCGGTCTCACAAAATCCCATATAATAACCTAAACATTTATTCATCTAACTACTGAAAAGACCTGCGAATAGCCGATAATATCATATAGCCTTTTGCAATAGCAGCCCTACAGTTACTAGTAGTTTTGAGATCACTGCTTATTATGACCATCCGTCCATCCATGCCACCAATGAGTTGAGCTCATCCTGTAATACTATTCTATCTGACATACTGTGTGTGGGTCTCCAAATCTTGATGTCATCGGCGAAGAGTTGAACGGAGGACTGTTGTGCAGTTGGTAATTCATTTACATAAAGTACAAGAGAAGAGGACCAAGGATTGTACCTTGAAGTAGTCCACTTATTACAGGTTCCCACTTTGAGAGAGCTCCATTTACCCTTGCTTTCTGTCTCCTATCACTGAGGTCACTTATCCAGTTTACAACCTTATGATGGATTCCCAAACTTTCCAATTATAACTTAAGACCCGGATGAGAGACCTTATCAAAGGCCTTACTTAGATCTATGAAAATTACGTCTACAGAAATATTTCGATCTTTTGCTGCAGCCCAATGTTCTCTTGCAATGAGAAAATTTGTAACACATGACAGGCCTTTCCGAAAACCGTATTTTTCTCAGGATGTTATAACTCGTGACCTGTGTGCCCTGTTAATGTATAACGTAACGATACCGCTAATTAGAGATCAGTGAATTATCGATCGGACCAATGACGCATAAAACCTGTACGAACAGTCTAGAGTACTTATCGGTCCTGCTTTCCGCCTAGCCCATCCAGTTAAATCCAGAACACCAATCTCAGCCTCAGCAATATAAATCACTTATTACAAACATACAGAGTTTATATATCAATCAAACAGACCACATCGTACCATAAAATAGGAAACAACATTTGTACAAGAATTAGCCAAATGTGGCTGTGAATGAGGGAGGTAGTAATTAATAGACATGGCATAACTCAAGAATGGTAAATCATATAATAATAGTCCATAGATCAAAATAAAGCTCATAATAAGAGGGACATGAGTATGAATAGTTTATTTATTTAACAATTATACGATAAAAATATATGCATAGTATTGGTCCATAAATGGACCCCAAAAGTTACTGGGACATAACACAGGATAAAAGATTATGCCCTTCCACATAGTTTGTGGCCGCAATCGGAGTAATTTTTTCCATTAGTTTGACAACTGTACTGGTTATAACAACGGGCCGATAGTTACTAAGTCACTGCTCCCTGTCTTATACATCGGACTAACCATTGCGTCTTTCCAGTCTTTAAGCAGTCTGGACTGCCACAGTAAGACCATAGGTCCAACAACTACATCCGACAGGGCTTTCATAATCCTGGGATGAATATCATCAGGATCACTGGAGTAATCACTGAAGTAATTTTCAAGATAATTCCTTTCTCAATAACTACGGGCTCCATCGACAAGCCTCCCTGGTCGCGATCGATAGTTGTTCATTCCTCATTGGAAGTGAATAACACCTTACTGAAATATTTCAATAAAGCTTAAGATTTTTCGGCATCCTCCCTTGCCAGTACTTACGGGTTTTCTTGTATAAAATGTAATGGGATCTCATCACTCCTCTGAGAATGACCGTTTCGGACAATTTTTGTAATTTCTATCCAATTGTTTTTCATACAACTCTCTAGTCTTACTTTTAACGTTTTACAAGCATTTCAAGTATTACAATAACTGGGTCTGTACTGTTCTAGGTCAGTAGATGTGAACATATTTCAATGCCTTTTCCCATGTCTAAGAAGTTTCTTGACTTGTTTAGTTATCCACAGTGGACAGTTATTTGGTCTACGTGAGACAAAGCATGGTATAATTGGGGACGTAACTAAATTAAGGTTACCTGTATTATAGACCATGTCTTTTCAATTGATGAGCTCACGTCTACTGACCAGGCTGTTTTCGCAGCACATTCCTTAATCGGTGGTATGTTAGCTTGTAGTGGCATTGGGCAATGTGGGAAATAGGCATTTAGCATGTAGCGGTAAATAAATACTCAAAATAAATAACTCTGTAGGTTTTCGACATTGGATGCTGACCATATGTTTTAATGGACTCATCTAGCTGAAGGCGCTCGGTAAGGCATCCGTACCAGATCACGTGTGGTAACGCCGTGCTCAACATCAACCGCAATTGCTAGCCAGATTAGATCAGAGAATTCCGATATATTGGTATACTCTTCCGATCTCATCGGTGGGAACGAATCATATTAGGTGTTACTGGTAGAAGCGTTGTCAAACACTGAATACCTGTGTCATCCTTTCAAGCATTTAACAAAACCCAACGATGAAGAGGGCGGGAAGAAGGAATTGAATGAATTGAAGTTGATCGGATGGCATGGCTCGTCGATGCAGGCGTGGTCCCTACCGAATGTTACCTTATATCTTTTATTCATCTCAAATATCTTGTTCTTTCTCTAGCCTAAGCTCGTTCTTCATCATGTATTGGTAATTGCTACGATACAGTGATTTGATGTAGACGATGATGTGACTTCCACTTGAGATCTCATAGATTAGGCAGTTATATCATGACGAATCTAGAATTTTAGGATTAGTTCTATTATAAGAGCAGTACTAATATCATAGTAGACCATAATTCTACAAGCTCTCCATACATTTGGGTGAGGCTTGACCTGGATGTTGCCCTAAGGTTTATGTTAGGACTGAGTTTATGCAAGTATTCAAGTGGGTTTTAAGTGCTTGAGATGTTATAATTGACACCTGAGACACTTCATACGATTCCAGTTTGAGACCTCAAACTGATTTCGTGTTCCGCCTCTTATACACACGATCTCAATGAGTGTGTATTGAATAGAAGAATTCTGTGTCTATTAGTGTCACGTCCAAGTTTTGCTCGTTCCCTTTATTGAATTACGGTATGTCAATCTATTTGCAATTCACGAACCAAAATTAACAATGGAACCAAATTCCGATTTAGATACCAA